CAGCATTCTGCTTTGAAGCTTAACAGGGTCTGCAGCCCTGTTTGACTGCTCCTCGAAGACAGTGGTCTCGCAGGGTGTGGGCCTGGCTCTTCCCTGTCCTTGGTGGTGGAGAGATGGTGGCCGCTAATCAGACACTTAGGAGCTGTGGGTCTCCTGGCCAAGGCATCTGTGCACCCCCTTGCTCTGCTCCCTGTCCCCTCCAGTGTCAGTGAGTCCTCTTGGCTGTGTCTCTCTCCAGGTTCCAAGCCCTGCGTCTGACGATGCTGCGGCGCCTGGAACAACTAGTGGAGGCCAAGTAGCTGGACAGCATCTGCCTCTTCCAAAGCCCCCAGCAGCCAGTGTACACTGAGTGCCAGTGGCCGGGCCCTGACTGGTCACACTGATTGATGGCCACCAGCTGAGGAATCCAGCAGCCATGCTTCTACCTGTCTACCTGCCTGAGTCCCATGAGTCCCATGTCCCTGGCTCTTGGCTCCAAGGTGACTACTCACAGGGCCCAGACCCAAGTCTGAGGAGCCAGGAACTTGCTTGGTGGGGTCTGTGCATAGACTGGCCTGTGTAGTGAGCAGCTCTGAAGCTGTGGCACCAGCCACATTATGTGGCTGGATGGTGTGGCCAGTCCTATTCTCTCCACATCTCTCCTGCTCAGGGGAGCGGTAGATGACTGAGCCCCTGGGCCCTGAGCTCCATCTGCTTTCCCAGTGCCTGGCTCAGAGTTTCTGCAGGGCCACAAACCCCTGTCCTCATCATCCATATGAACTACATGATTCCTGTCTGCCTTCGCCTCATGCTGCCACTCAGAAGCTCTGCCAGGAAAAGCAGGGGCTGCCAGCAGGTTTGAGACATGCCCTCCTCCCACCCATCACTTCACCATGGCATCCCTGGCCTCCAAGCCTCTGATGTCACCCCGTGAACCTCACACAGCCCAGCACCCTGGCAGCAGAGGTCAGACTAGAAATAAGAGCACAAGCATCCTATCTTCTCTCTGCAGCACTCGCTCTGGACTTCCTCAGTGAGTAAGGAATTCTTATAGGGAGCGTGCTGCAAGAAACATGTCAATTTGATCACATGGGGGAGGTAGCCCAGGTGGCATTGGAAGGATGCCTCCCCTGTAGGTGAGAGTCCAGGGGCTGCCGGGCAGCACCTTGGGAAGGCAGGGCTCAGTCCCCATTGCTGCTGTTCCATGGACACCTGCGTACCTCTTGCCCTCTCTGGGCTTGCATTCCTCCACTCTCAAAGGAGCAAGATAAGGAGTAATGCCTGTTTGAGGAGAAAGGACTTTGAATTCCCTGGGACCAGATACTGAACAATTTGGGTTTATCAGCTGGTGGAGAATTTCTGGAATGAAATAGAAGGTCTTTGTAAAACTATGCAACAGTTTACATCTGTCATGTGAAGTGTTTGTCCAAAACAGAGCAAATTTTTCTCCCACTGGGGCCTGTGGATAGCAAATTTAAAGAGAAGAACCATAAAGTCTTCCAAATACAGGAGATTCCACCTCTGCTTCTTGCTGCAGCTCCTCATCAGCACCTATAAAGAACAGAGCTTGGGGCAGCCATGCCATGTGGACCTACTTTTCAGGGTTTCCCTCAACTCGCTCCATCGTCACGGAGACATGCAGAGAGATGGCTGGGGAAGGCCCGGCCGCAGTTTCTGTTATCTGTGCTCTCCTTTAGCAGCATAGTTTCCTAGGTGCTCAATAAAGGTGTGCTGTACTGGAATTAGGACCAAGCTTTCTTTTTGCTGTGCGTGTCCACCCTGACCCCCTGCTCTAACCCCTGAAACTCTTATCCTACAGTATTTATGGCCAAATTTGGCAGAAGAGCTAAAGCTGAGCCGCAGCCTGCTGCTCTTGACACGATATGACTCCTTCATTTCCCTGCATATCCTGGGAATTGATGTGGGGCCTGGGGCAGAGGCCCCCGTTGGGCATGGAGGAGGAGTCATTGGTGTGGGTCTGTGGGCAGCTTGGAAGATGAGTGATAGAATCACCCTGAATCACAGAATCTCAGCATCAGGAGGACCTCAGGAATCTTCCAGGCAGGGACTCAAGTGGGATGGTGCCAGGGCCTACGAGAGGGTGGAAAACAAAACAAACAGGCTGCCCCAGGTCATTTTACTCCCCAGCCAGTATTTACCACCTCAGGTCTAGGACAACTGCCAGGCCATTGTTCAGCGGTAATTGAGTGACTGCCTTGTGCCACACCTGTGCTCCACCCTAGAGGGACAAAGACAGAGCCACAGTCCACCCTCTTTTCAAGGGTCTCCTCATCAGGAGAAGCAGGCCAGATACCAGGGATGCTCAGGGGACCAGCAGAGCAGGGAGCCGGTACAGGTCCCGGGAAGGACGCCTGAGACTGAGCCCACATTGGCTAAGACAGTGTGTGTGGCATTCCAGCCTGAGAGACACTGGCCAGCCGGGAGCAGACAGGGCCTGGCACATGGGAAGCCGTTGATCAGGAGCCCCTCTGTAAGCATGCACCGATTTTGCTTTTTCAGTATGGGGTATTTTTTGTTTCAAAATTTTTTGCAGTTTTACAATATTAGTTAAGGCGTGTCTAGGTAAGCATCACTTTTGAAATAGACGTTTTCAAAATTAACTTCTGAATATCATAACTAAGAAAAATCACTAGCAAGTTGCACAGGAAAGGGGAAAATGTACACTTCTATAGTCATCTGAGCGGTTAACAAATCTTTTTCCCAACAAAATATTTGCTTTTCAGAGGCCACTTGAAAAACTGCTAATTCAGCTCACAAAGACACCACAGTTTCCGACTTTCCCTGCTAGGCTCTGTGGTTTCCTGCTGATTTCTGTGGGCGCTCCACTGTCCTCTCTCCACAGAGATGACAATATTTCTTACAGGCTCCTTCGCTAACGGGTATCTCAGGTAATAAATGGATCCAACGACAAGGTGAAGATTCCTGAGAGAGAGTGTCCTCTCCTAAAACAGGACTCCTCCCAGGCCAGGCCTCAGGCACTGAGAAAATCACAAACACAGGATGAAGTCAACATGATTGCAAAAGGACTGGACTCAGGAAAAACAGGGTGGTTTGCCCAGAACAAATTACCAGAAGGAATCAAAAAACAGCTTGTTTTTCTCGTGGTGATAACCATATGCTACCTGCTGGGGATGTTTACCAGAAAATGGATTAAAGAGCTTCCCACTATCAAAATAAAGCCATGGGTTCACCCAGGACACATCTGGACCCTTCGTCCCGGGGAAACAAAGCAGGAGGCTTATCTGATCTGAGCAGGTACCTTGTGGAGGAGCCTGCCATGCAGTGTGCCTGTGTGGGCAGGACACAGGTGCCCTGCAGCTGCAGAGCAGCGGCCATATCCTTGTCAGGTGCCCGAGGTGGGCAGCAGACCCCCGCCCTGCAGTCCCTCAGCCATGATCAGGCAGGAAGTGCAGTCAGAGCCAAGCTGTTCTGAGTATAAAAACAACCAAATGCATGTGGTATATTTAGGCCCCAGGGGCTGTGATTGTCTGCGAGAAAGCCAGCTGCTGACCTGCCCCTGGACTCAGCCGTGGGCGTGGGGCTCTGCTCCCTCCTGGCTGGGCTTGTGAGATGTTTTCTGCAAACCCAGGAATGGGAATTCCCCAAGTTTCCTTTCCTGGAGGACCCAAAAGAAACAGAAAGCAAAGTCTCAGGCTTGATGGTGTCGACTGAAATAAAGAGCCTGGGTGATATTAGTGAAGAAGTTTATTCACTAACCAGCGTGAGGAGTTTGAACCCCAGGAAAAACAGTTCAACAGAGAGCGTGCTCTGATGGAGCTGCTCCGAGGGGTGTGAGTTTAAGTGCAGCTTACATCTGTATACTGTGTGTACAACACAGTGCACGTGCAGGGAAGAAGAAGAGAAAAAGAACTTACAACTAGATTTCAAAAATATCAAAAAAGGGATAGAGTACATCTGGGCTTTTCTCTGGATTATACATTGATGGTAACATAAGAATTCTTTGGTTATACATCAAACGAGTACAGAGATGCTGATGTTATCGATGTATGGAGGGAGGCAAGGACCAGGGTGCTTAATTAGTCTCTCAATCTCTAAGAAATGCAGCTGGGAGATGTGAGAGTGAGTTACCCTTTATCTTTCCCTGCTGTGGATCTGTCCAGCTGGTGTCTTATGTGGGGTTGCGAGGTCATTCTGACACAGGCTGAAGATGGCCTGCACAGCTGCTTCACAGCACAGCATGGATTTTGCTGTACTGACTCATAGCCTATGCAGTTTGCTTGCTAGATTCACCTGGGAGAGAGGTCCCAAAACTCTGTCCACAGTGCACAGAACCATTGTCCAGGGTCCCTTCATGGGAGGTGGACCACTCCTGTTACTGCACGTGGGCCACACATGTGACTGGCCTCCCTTGCACTGTTGTTGCCAAATGCAGACCCAAGGCAGCAGTGCTCCCTGTTGAGACGTGCTTTTCCACGCACGTGCGTGCGTGCGTGTGAGTGTGAGCGCACCTGCGCGCCTGTGAGTGGGGATGCAGGGGACAAAGCCATAATAAAAGGAAGCTGTCTTGACAGGGCTTGGGGCACACTGGCCCCTGCTGGGTGCAGCTTCCCAGAGAAGCCCCAGCCCTTAAGGGGTCTGGCCTCTCTTGGCCCAGTTCCCCTTGAAAGATGTGCTGTTAGCAGAACGTGGTGACATAGCCTATCTTTGCTGCCCTGACTGTCCATCCCTCCAACCCCCACCCCCTTTCCCCTTTGTTTTGTAAATATCAGGTGTGACCATTTTCGATAACTTAATTTGCTTAAAATAACTTGGAATCCCATTTGAGAGATACTGCTATGTAGAGGTCAGGAGCAGAGGCTCTGGAGCCAGACTGTCTGGCTTTAAAGCCTGGCTCTGCCACTTAGGAGTGTGTGACCTTATGCAAGTTACTTGCCACTGGTTTCCCATCTATAAAATGAGGATAATACCAGTTCCTATCTCTTAAAGTTGTGGGAGGTGTATTAGTCGGCTCTGCTGCAGGACCACCACCAAAAATCTCACTGGCTACAACAAGAGCATTTATTTCTGTCACATGTTACTTGTGGCTGCAGGTGGGCTTATATGGCTCTGCTCCACATGTCTTCTCCTGTTTGGGACATATTATTCTTGAGGCAAAGGGAAAGAATACGGTGGTGGCAGGAACACAGTGACCCAAAGCTGCTTCTGGGATGTGGTACACTTTGCGTCCACTCTCATGCAATTGACCAATGCTAGTCACATGTAAAGTCAACATCACTGGGACAACATATCGTTTGCTAGGAGGCACTGAAAGTCACACAGCACTAAACAGGGATGTAAAATCCGAGAAAGGCAGAGCAAATGCTCAGGAACAGTCATACCACAGGAATCTTGAACGAGGTACTACAAATGCTCTGGACAGTGCCTGCCACACGCTAAGCATTCAGTAAGTGCCGACTGTTATTATACTAATAAGTAATGGAGGGCATACAACCTTCTCCCTGTTTTCTCTCCCCCTTTCTTCTTTTCCCTTTATTCTTCCTCCTCCTCCCCACCCAATATCCTTTTCTATCTCTGGCCTCTCTCCATCCTTACCTTCTACTCTGTCCACTCTTAGCCACCCACACCCCTTTATTTCCTGACTTTCATCTCTCTCCTTTTTAAAATTCATCTTTCTTTACCCAATTATCTCCCTTTCTAATCTACACATCTCTGGGTCTTCTGCAGCTGGCCCGATGGTTTTCAGGTACAGGAAAAAGGGATAACCCACCGTTATGTGGGACAGGGAAAGATTTAATTAATGACTGTCTTACTAATCAAATATTTTTGAATAAATTTTATCTTACTATTTTAATGTGCATAGAGCAAACAGTCCCAGCAGGTCATATTTGCTCTTGAAGCTTCCTAAACTATCTCTGGCCATACCCCCACTCTCTCCAACCACTAGCATCAATCACTTATAACAATAATAATAAAAGTAATATCAATGTGTTATGCATTGTGCTAAGTGCCTCACATTATCTCATTTAATCTTTGTAACAGTCCAGCTTTTATCTAGATTACCGACTGGAAATTCCTTATCTAGGCCTTAGTCAGTTTCATGCTTTGCCATCTGCAGAGCAGAAAGCTCCAGACTGAAGTCTGAACCTTTGATCTAGTGTGGCCTCTGCCATCAACTCTCTGTGTCACTTCAGGCAAGTCTCCCTCTCTCAGCTTCATTTTACTGATCTGCAAGACAGGATGATCCCTGCTTCATGAGACTGTAGTAAAGATGAATGACCAAAGAATAGATGTAAAGGCACTTGTAAACAATGAGGCATCCTGTACATTCATTCATTCAACAAATACTGGCTGAGTTCCTGCTACCTGCTGTTCTCAGCATTGCAGACCCAACCAAGAACAGGAGACAGATCATGACAGCTGTGTGTGCCACTATGAGGCCAGCGGTTTTTGCTCTAATGACATGGGAAGTCTGTGAAGGGTTTTGAACAAAATGAATGACATGATCTGACGTGGGTCTCAAGAGGAAGACTAGTCAGGAAGGCAACACAATAATCCAAACAGGAGATGACAGCAGCTTGGTGGATGTTCTAACAGTGGAGGTGTTGAAAGTGGCTCAATTCTGGATATATTTTGAAGATAAACCCAACAAAATTGCAGATGGATTGGATCTGGGTTTGGGGTGAAAAAACAGACAACAATGACATCAAGAGTTTTGGCCTGAGCAACTGGAAAGATGGAGGAGTTGCCATCAATTTGCTGGGATGCATGCTGCTGAAGGAACAGGCTAGGTGACTATCAGAAGTTCATTTGGGGGATGTCCATCACATACAAATGGTACTGGGTAACTAGTTGGATATACAAATCTACAGTTCAGTAATATTTGCATCCCAGGGTCAGACTGGAGTTGCCAATTCGGAGTCTTCAGCACATAGAGACCGCATGTGAAACCGTTAGACTGGAGGAGGTCCGCAGGGGAAGGAGGCCACCAGAGGACGGACGCAGCGCCGCCACATTGGCTGAAGAGGAGCCTGTGGGAGAGGAGAAGCGGGAAAGATCGTTACTAAAGAAAAGCAAGGAGGTGGTTTTAAATCGCGAGAGACCCGTCCCAATCCTTGGTCGTCCACTTACACCGTGTGAACTTCAGCAAACTTCTCTAAGCCTCCGTTTCTTTAGCTGTAAAATGAGTAGGATCATGTCCATCTTGCAGGGGCCTCTGGGTGATAATTAAATGAGGTGATTCATGAAAAATAGGAACAGTTGAGGCTCTCCGAAAGTCCCTCTTTATAATTAATAAGTGCTCAGTATTTGTAGAAAGAACGAAGTCTCGGGATGGGCAGGCTGGCGCTGCGTTTCAGAAGCCGCGACTGACCCAGGTTGCAGCTCGCCGGCCGCTCCTCCTCCGCAGAGGAGCCGGCCACAGGCCTGGCGGTCCTGGGACCCCAGCAGGCAGGCCTTCCGAGGGGCGGGAGAGGGAAACAAAACGAGACGCAACGAAGCGTTTCTTCTTTCAGGTGGGCCCGGGACCATAGAGGGTCGCTCCGCCACGTTCCTAGAGCGACCGCGGTGGCGCCGAAGAGCCGCAGCCCGCACTTCCGGCAGGGCCAGGGCACCGAGCGGGAGAGAGAGGGCGGCGGCCGGCCCCGCGGTGAGTGGCCCGCCCGGGCGCGAGCTGCCTCAAGCGCGGTGGGGCAGGCGCTGCCTCGGGCTCCGCTCCCCGCGCCGCAGGGAGGGCTCGGCGCCGGGCCGGGGGCGGTGGCAGAGGCAGCGGGGCGGAGGCCTTCACGGGGCCCCAGCGAGTTGCCGCGGGAGACGGCCGCGCAGGTCCCCTGGGCCGCAGTCCTTCCGCCTTCCGCCGTGCGGGGCGTTGCCGGGCTGCATGTACTGAACGAACACTCGGTCACCGCAGGGCTGTGCTGAGCCATTTACAGATTTTGACTCATTTAAGCTTCCGACACTCTGATGATGCAGCAGCTCTATTGTCATCCCAGTTTTAGGTAGGAGGAAACTGAGGCACAGTGCAGTGACGCGGGTTCGCACGACTGGTAGCCCGTGTCGCTCAAGTTTACCTTCGCACCCGCCCCTGCCGTCCAGTTATGCTGAGCACCGTCCGAGCGCTGGACTTGGCGCTAGAAGGTGGGGCTGCCCGTCAGTGGGCCGCTGGGTTTGGGAACCTGGCCCAAGTCTTCCCAGCTGTATGCCTGCCTTTCCTTAGCTGTAAAACGCAGATAACCGCATAAAGCTGCTATGGGAATTATGAAAGGTAGCACAAAGGACACCTGTTAGTATGAGTTCTTCATCTGTATTGTTCTAGGTGGATTAGATAGTCTCTGAGTTTCCCAGCGGATCGGAATTATATCGTATAAGAAATAGATGTGGTTTTTAAAAATGTATAATTACCGTTAAAGCTATTTTTTCAACAGTAACATTACCTAATAAATGTCTCCTTGTAATAGATGTTCTATAAGTATTTACTAAAGTTGAGGAATGAATAGTGCTCTCTGTAATTTTGTTTTATGCAGTTCGCTCTTTGTGATACAGCAGATAGAATTATTAAATCCCAGATAAAGTTCTCAGCACTATCAGGCCTGGAGTCTCAGTTATGCAATGAGATGAAGGAAAGGCGAGAACAATGATGTAATTTGTGTTTCCTCTTCTTTGCTTTATAAGCCTCTATGCAGAGTCCCAGGACAATTATTCCCATTTTAAAGTCTACTTCTTGACACAGGATGTGGAAAATAGTTGCAGTAATCTTATTTTCACAGCTTAGCTTCTCCTACATTGTCATCTATTTGGAGTTTGTGGCTTGTTTGTTTGTTTATGGCCATTATTTTAAATAACCTTATAAGCAAGTGAGTGAAATTAATTTTTGGAATTTTGAGTTTTTGCAGCATTTGGGTATTTTTAAAATTCTGTCATGTAAACTTGCTTTCTCCTCCTCTTTTGCTTGTGTTCTGCCTATGGCCTTTTTGTCTACTCAATTTCATTTCGCCATCTGGTAAAAGGTCTTGAAATTTTTGTTTCTCTCTCCAGAAACAATCCTCTTGTTTCAAGTTTTCAAAGAATTGTCCTTTTTCTTGAATCATTAGAATCTAGAAAAAATAATAATAAAGCATCTCTTTGACGTTTTTGTCATCTGGTATTTATTGAATTGACTTACGGAAACTTATCACTCTTTTTTTTTTTTGAGGAAGATTAGCCCTGAGCTAACATCTGCTGCCAATCCTCCTCTTTTTGCTGAGGAAGCTTGGCCCTGAGCTAACATCCGTGCCCATCTTTCTCCACTTTATATGTGAGACACTTGCCACAGCATGACTTGACAAGCAGCACGTAGGTCCACACCCAGGATCCGGGCAGGCAAACACCAGGCTGCAGAAGCAGAACGTGGGAACTGAGCCCCTGCGCCACTGGGCCGGCCCCAACTTATCACTCTTTATAGAGTAGTCCTACTTTCAAAACCACTTATGCTATCAAGTTAAAGCTAAGTTGTTATCTATAGTTGTGAAAATGGAATGGCTAAACAAATCAGGATAAACAGAAATATTCAGTAAAGTAGTATGGTTTGTCATTTCTTTCTAAGTTGAACACCTCAATTAGATAGTCACCAGTAAGTAGAGGTTTAATGTGGGAGTAAATATTAAAACATAATGGTAGTCTATTACCCAAATTTTGATTGTCTTTTGGAGTTATGTCTTCTATTTCCATTAAGGTATTGTCTCCACTTTTTAATCCTTCAGAATTACATTCTCATTTGATAAAGCATAATAAAAGCTATTAAGCTTAAACTCTGGAATTATTAAAATTATTTTGTAAATATCTTTTCCCCAAAATTGTCTTTGTTTCCATATGTATTGAATACATTTTTAATTTAAACATGGACGCGATTTTGTTGTGTTGAAGAGGTATTAAAGCTGAATAATTAATCGCCCATAATTTGTATTTTTATTTTTTCCTTTACAAACAGAAAATTCTGAGCTGTGTAGCTCTAGGAAGTGAAACATTAGTTCAGAAGAAGAGAGTAGACTCTTAACACGTTTGGCTCTTCACCATGCGATTAGGAAAACCTAAGGGTGGTATTTCTCGGAGCTCAAGCCACGGAAAAGCCTCTGAGAACCAGCGCAAAACCATCCGGCAGCGGCAGAAATGGGGAATGACTGTTCCATTTATCTCAAACTTGAGTAGACTGAGAAGAAGCCTGGATGAGAAGCCCTATAAATGTACTGAATGTGAAAAGAGTTTCAGTCAGAGCTCAACTCTTTTTCAACATCAGAAGATCCATACTGGAAAGAAATCCTATAGATGTGCTGATTGTGGGAAAAGTTTCTTTCAGAGTTCTAATCTCATTCAGCATCGACGGATCCATACCGGGGAGAAGCCCTATAAGTGTGATGAGTGTGGAGAAAGCTTTAAACAGAGCTCGAATCTCATTCAGCACCAGAGAATTCATACTGGAGAAAAGCCCTATCAGTGTGATGAGTGTGGCCGCTGTTTCAGCCAGAGTTCCCACCTTATTCAACATCAGAGAACCCACACGGGGGAGAAGCCCTACCAGTGCAGTGAATGTGGCAAGTGCTTCAGCCAGAGCTCTCATCTTAGGCAGCACATGAAGGTGCACAAAGAAGAGAAGCCTCGTAAGACCCGGGGCAAGAATATTAGGGCAAAAACGCACTCAGTATCATCTTGGAAGGCTGGTACAGGAAGGAAGTCAGTGGCTCGTCTCCGCTAGGTAGAGGACACTACTTCAGCCATCTTTTAAAAAAATAAAAAGTATCTGTTTTAGAACTGGAGATACTTTATAATAGACCACTTCAGTACGGTATCCTTTCCCAGCATGGAGACATTGGGAGTTTAATGAGGTTGGTATGAAAGAAATTACATGTGTCCAGCTGTCCTCATTTTTTGTGTGTGTAACATGGAGTACAAGGAACTGAAAATATCTTTTGAGATAATATAAGATCCTTGACCTCATTTGAAATTGCTTCCTGCATCATTATGAGAAAATAATCCTGTTTTGATGACACATGTAAAAGTACAGGAATTCCAATGACAACTCAATTTTAGGACTTTCTGTGGAATCAGTACTTTAAAAGGGAGAAGAAGTTAATTCCGTTAGTTTTGGAGTTCTGCAACAGATGAGGACATTTTGTGTTTGTAAAGTTTTTGTAGTATATTAACCGTTGGTTTGTAAGTATCACTCAAGGGTCCATATATTAAAATGTATTCATGTTCACAGATTTTTAATCAACAAGGCCCATCACTGTATGTTAGCTTTCTTTTGTTTCTTCTCTTCTGCTTATGGACAATTATTAATTAAAGGTGTAGAATTTCTCTGTTTTTCAACAAATTCTTAGAAAAAGGCACTCTAGAAGCCAAAGTGAGAACTGAATTAGACCACAAGTCTCCTATTCCTACCAGTACCATTCTTTGTGATGGTCTTACTCGGTGTCACTTGTTTTCTGGAAGTTGGGATGGGTTTATGTTGATCCATCCATCCCCATGGCTTTGATTTCTTTTGGCATTCTCTTGTGCTCTGACAAAGTGAGCTAGCCTTTTAGATCTACATGAATAAATAATTAAACCATATTTTACCGAAACAATCTCCACTTGCTAATTAGAAATTAACAATTTTCAACCTCTATGTGTTTCCCTTTGAGAGCTTTAGGATAACCCTGGTTATCTTAAATGAATGTTTGTCAACAGCAAAAGTCATTTAATTGAAATGTCAGTGCTTGTAGCTCAATGTGTAGATTTTGAAATCTGTTAACTTTTTGTGAATTATGTGAATTATTTGCCAAGTCTAGTAAACGTGTGTCTTCCATCAGAACAATGCCAAGTGTCAGACATTCTGATCAACCTTCAGCTCAGGTTTTAATTTCTATTGAATGCTAACATTCTTTTGATTTTTTTGTATCTTTTATAATCATACAAGTTCCTGCTGTATTAATAACGGTTACTATAAAAAAATTTTTTAAGTGGGATATTTTGCTTACTACTACCTTCTGTTCATTTTTCTCCTGGGAAGTTGTCTTAATAATTTAGGCAACATCTAAAATCACAGCTTTTGGCAGAATCACTTGTTTTGCCTATTTTTGATTGCCTCAGACTTGAACTTTGCCTCCCTCCTGGCCTTACGTTTGAATGCAAAGTCATAGAAGATGGCCTTGTTGACAACAGTTTCATCCAACAGGGTGTCCACAAAATGTCCTGTGGGTGTGAGGTAACTGCAGTTATCTTTCGCAAAAGACTTGATCTTTGACGGCTTAGCAAGTGTTGTGTTACTCACACCCAAGTCACTCTGTAGCAGAGGCGTGCCTAGGGCCGTTTTGAGGATCTACCATCCATGTTATTTATAGCAGTTTTGGGTCTGGAGTAACTTCTGACTGGGACCAACATCACTTTCTCAAATTTAATGAATTTGCCAATTTTGACAGCAACCACAGGGCAACAGAAAAACCTGTGTATATTAGACTTTTTAGTTTTCATTTTTATCCTAAATGGACTTCCACATACTTTATAAAAGTAAAGCAGAAACTCTTCAGATTTAGGTGTATTCCCAGTTTGACTGTGGTTTGCATTTCTTCTTAGAGCCCTAAAACAGAGCAAATAGGTCACTAACATTTATGGTGACCTTCTGTGGTAACTAGCATGTGGCACTACTACTTTATGCTACTTTTGTGAGTATCTTAGAAGAGAGAAATATCACAGCTGCTTTACATTAATGAGTAAAGGAAATATTGCACTACTAGAAATTGAGTCTTGTAGGCACTGCCTCTTTGAATACAGTCTTGCATGAAAATATGCTGCCCCTCAATGGTCTGAATTTCCACCATAACTCAGGTTTACTAAACTCTGAATCCTTTTATTCTTCTGGCAGGCTCCTTTTTTATCTGGATGTTTTATTTAGGGGGGAAAAAAGCTCCAAGTGTATTTTTTTTTAAATATTGCTGAAATTTCTTCAATCCTACACCAGCGAGTGAGATGTGTTGTTAAAAATGCTTGGTTTCTGGGGCCGGCCCCGTGGCCAAGTGGTTAAGTGCTCGTGCTCCACTTCAGGTCAGGGGCCAAGGGTTTCACCAGTTTGGATCTTGGGCGTGGACGTGGCACTGCTCATCAGTCCCACATAGCACAGCTGAAAGGAGCTACAGCTAGAGTATACAACTATGTACTGGGGGGCTTTGGGGAGAAGAAAAAGAAAAAAAAAGAGATTGGCAACAGATGTTAACTCAGGTGCCAAGCTTTAAAAACAAAATGCTTGGCTTCCACATTCTTTTATTTATTCACATTATTTATTTATTCAATCATTTAATAAATGCGGTAGAAATAAAAGTGATCAAGGCAGCTTTAGCTTAAAGGAACTTAAGTGAGTAGTCAAGTAGAGGAATTGAAAAACTAGAATAAGTATAGGGCACTATGGGAGCACAGAGGAGGGACCTCTGACCCAGTGGTTCTCAATTTCAGTACGTATCACTGTCACCTGGAGGACTTGGTAAAACATTTCTGGGCCCACTCGCAGAACTGCATATTCAGTAGGTCTGGGCTGTAGCCGGATAACTTAGGGTTCTGACATGCTCCCAGGTGATAGTAACATGCTTGTGCAGGACACTTTGAGAACCACTGCTATAGCCTATTACTGGGGGTTAGTGATGTGCTTAGATAAAGTGGTGTTTAAGTCAGATACATACATAATACTAAACCTTTGACAAGGGTAGGCAGGATTTAATGATGAAGACTTTGGGCCCTGGGGTAAACCTACTTAGGTTTACATCTCAGTTAACTAGCAACTGGGCAATTTGAGTTTTTGTTCTTGACTACATTGAAGAAGATACTGATGGTTGAGTTGTGGAGGTAGAATTAAATGAAGTAATGCAGGCAGAGAGCCTGGGACGTTGTTTTCTGATTGACTTATTAGGGAGCTGGAGGCGGAGAAGCTGTTGAATCAAATCTGAAATTGTCAGTGGCAAAGTTTTATCCCATAAATTTAAAAGTGAGTTCTGTTTTATTTTGGCTGAGTCAAGACTCTTGGAGAGAAAGGTATACCTAAAAAGGGCAAGAATCATCTAATACGTTTCTAAGGGAAATATAAGAATCTGTATGAATTTTTTGACAGGTAGTGAGAGTACCTCTTCAAAGTAGAAGTACATAGCCATAAACGCAGTATTATTCCCTGTGTTAGGAAAGCAAAGTGCTTTCATTTTTTTGAGGGAATAAATATTTGTTGAGCATCTGCCATGTAAAAAAGACTGGTAGGAAACGTAAATTAACATTTTTAAAAAGTAATATTAAAAGAGGTGATGAATACACAGTGTGATTCCCATTCAAACTGGAGAATTTACATCTGGTACAGGGAAGAAGGAAAGGATCTTCAAGGGATGACATTTACACTAGGTTAGGGAATAGAAACCCAAAAGTCTATCGAGGCCAGGCAGCCAGTGTAAATGAGTGGAGCGAGAAGAGTGCTGTGAACAGGAGTGCAAATGCCCATCCAAAAGGATAACCCTGGCTCGGTATCAGCCAGTGGTTACCTTGCTGAGATTCAGGCCCAGATATGCTGGCTCTTGATTTTTCAAGAGAAACCAGAAATCCAGATTTTAAAAGTCACAACCATTCTTACCAGTTTGCCAGACCTAGTCTAGACTTTTAAGGATGTGAAGGCTCTGTGTGTGACTGTGTGGGGGTAGGGTGGAGAGAGGGCATGGTGGGGGACCAGGGAATGAGGGGAGGGGAGAGGCAGACGTACAAGGTGGAGTGAAAGCTGCAAAGCACAGAAGGATCTACTCAGAGAACAGATCCTTCTCAGAAAAGAGATACCTACTTTATAGATAGTCCAGGTTCATCTAAGAGAGTTGTGGGAGATAAGCCTGGAATGGGCCTCCAGGAGAGCCTTAAATATCAACCTTAAGAGTGGAATAGTTTGATAAGATGGGATGCAAGAAGTTTGTTAGAGCATAGGTTAGAAATTAATCCAATGAGAAGTAACAACCAGCTAGAAGAAACATTCCCCCAAAGGGACCCAACCAATTGGCTAATTGGACCTGCAGGGCTTGACCTCCTACCTTGGGCCTCAAGTCTTACCTCCTTCCATTCCCTGCCCCACACTGAATGACAGCAGCTCCAAAATGCTCTGTACCTTTGTTTATTCTGCTTTGTCCAGTATGTATTCTGAGGCCTCCAGGAAGCCTTGAACCTTCCTTAGATGCTCTTCCTTTAAACTGAATTGTAATGATCCATATTTCAATCTCTTTCTCTCATTCTTCCTCTCATCTGCTAGCTCTTGGCTTATACCAGTTATTCAACTGAAAGTTTTACTGAAGAAAGGCCAAGAGGGAAGTTCAGAATGAAGGTTAGAGAAAGAGGTAAGAAGTTAGTTCTGGAAAGTTCTCAGCCTGGCTATCAGCTACCATGCCTACTAGCTGGAGAGTCCCACCTAGAACTTTTCTTCCCCCATCTTCCATCCCTATCCTGCTTCTTCAATCTTCTGTTCTCTTGGAAGTCATTGCTCATTGCATAATTCATTCTTTAGCCTTGCACATTGTGTACACGCTTATGTTTGTTGAATGCATGAATGACGTAATTAATGAAAGAACAAATGTATAAAATGGCATCAAACCTTAAGGAATCAGACATTCTCATGGTGTGAAAGGACCTGGAAGGCCACTTACCTGACCCTCTCCTAAACTGGATGATTAGTTTTTAGTGACCTAGATTCTTCTTTTATGCTCTTTGAATTATAAAACATATATGTGTAGAGTTTATATAGTTTAGAAAACTAATGTCACGTCCAACTTATTTTTTTGCCTGCTTTATCTCCCCAAATCCCCCCGTACACAGTTGTATATCCTAGTTGCAGGTCCTTCTAGTTGTGGGACATCCAACTTTTAAATGACTCAAAGCCCTATGTTTTTCCTGTTAAAACTAGATCTAGGGGCTGGCCTAGTGGCGCAGAGGTCAAGTTAGCATTTTCTGCTTTGGCTGCCCCAGGTTCGCTGGTTCGGATCCCAGGTGCGGACATTTGCACCGCTTGTCAAGCCATGCTGTGACAGGCGTCCCACATATAAAGTGGAGGAAGATGGGCACAGATGTTGGCTCAGGGCCAGTCTTCCTCAGCAAAAAGAGGAGGATTGGCAGCAGCTGTTAGCTCAGGGCTAGTCTTCCTCAAAGGAAAAAAAAAAACAGATCTAGAACATTTTAAGGACTTTTCAGACTTTAAAACACATTTTTTTTTATATCAATTTTGTGACCAAGCAATTTCAGATCCTCCAAAACTGGAAAGTCAATGAAGTTTTGGAAGAGATTTTAAGTTGGTTATTTGGAGAGACTGTTGCTAGATGATCTGAAAAGGTATTGACTTGGGTCAAGGAAACCACTTGTTGTCACTGAGAGTCAAGAGAACTCTTAGAATAGTCCAAATAGGAACAAATGTTTAAAGTAGGGCTCTGGAGTGGGGGGAGTGGGGAGTGCGGGGGAGGGGCGAAAGTAAGAGACACTGTGGTGACAGAATGGACAGACCTGGAGACATCAGATCTGAGGTACAAGCAAGAGGAAACGCTGTGATGGAGGTTTCCAGCCTAGGTGACTAGGAGGTTTGGGGGAGAAGATGATAAATTTTTTTAGGAAATACTGATCTTAAGATGCTAATCTGGGTGGCAAAGTATGACAGGAAATGAATATCTGTGTCTGAAGCATGGAAATTATTGAAGTAAATTAATATTTGTACCATTCTGTGTCAGGTGTTTTACATACATTAGCTATTTTATTAGTCTGCTTAAGCTGCCATAGCAAGATCCCACAGACTGTGCAGCTTAAAAAATAGACATTTTTCTCACAGTTCTGGTGGCCAATAGCCCAAGATCAAGGTCCCAGCAGGGTGGTTTTCTGTTTTCCTGGCTTCCAGGTAGCCACCTTTTCACTGTGTCTTCACATGGCCTTTCCTCTATGCATGCAAACACAGCGTACAAGCGCGCAAGACACTCTAGTATCT